GGCCACGTGATCCTGCTGGGTCCGGCCCCGCTGTTGTTGAGGCACAGCAGCGGCTGTTATCGTGGGGATCGCAAGTGGATTTAGCGGAGGGATCCGAGACGGGCTCGTCCTTATCTCGGTCCTCACCCTGCTAGATCCACGGCCCCCTCTCAGGGATCGGAAGTTCGCCCCGCAGTTTCTTCCCCATGGAGAGAGGGCCAGATGCTTCATCTATCTTACTCCGAGGAGGTTGATGTGATGAGCGTCGACATGGAGGAGACTGCGGACTCGTCACCGCAGTCCTTAGTGTATGAGGAGCTCATGGAGGTCGTGACTCGTGCTGTAGCCAAACTGAACATTGAATGCCCAGCCGAGAAACAGAACGCTCATCCCAAGAGCAAGCTGGATGAGCACTTCCCCAAAGCTAGATCACAGCCTTCACGACGGGGCCTTCCAATTTCCCCCGATCTCCATACTGAAGTCACGAGATTGTGGGATAAACCATATTCGTCCCGACTCTTCAGCCCTACAGTATCCAATTACTCAAACATCACGGAGCTGAATGATATGGGGCAAAGCCGGCGGTAGAGCAGACGCTTACCAGCTATCTCTCCCCATCCTCAGCATCGTCCCTGAAGGTCACGAAGCTTCTCACCAGGCCAGTAAATCTGACAACCAGCCTGGTTGGGAAAGCTTATATGGCAGCAGGTCAAGCCAGTGCGTGTCTGCACACTATGGCGGTGTTGCAGGCATACCAGGCCGACCTGCTAAAAGACCTGGACGATAGGGAAGAAGAGGAATCCGACGTAGTCGCCGAAGTGCGTCGGGCCAATGACCTGTCGCTTTGAACCACCAAGGCAATGGCCAGAGCCATCGGCCGTTCCATGGCAGCACTGGTGGCTACGGAGCGACATATGTGGTTGAATCTGTCAGAACGTCGCGACCCATACCACCCCTCATACCATCAGAAAGATCAGGGGGTGGGACGGTGCTCTCGGTCAGGGTCCTCTAAACAGAAAGCAGATCTGCGGACCGTTATTATGTCCAAGAGAACCTCGGCCAAGCAGTCCTGACAATTCCATCGTCAGGACCTTGAGGGCAGCCCACCCTGGGGAGGAGAGATACACACCTCAGTATATGGTGCCTGATCCTCCTCAGTGCCCTCAGGGAGCTTCACTGATACCACTGCCACTCCTGGTGCTTCAGGGCTCAGTGGGCTCCCGCAAGCAAATTTCCCAGTTGCCGCCCGGCCAACCGCTTCAGGGCACCGAATTGGCTCCTCTAGTGACACCAGAGGCCAGTCTCGAGAGACTTTCTGACAGTGTGGAAACTTCTGCCAAATGTCTCACAATGGGTCCTGCACACTGTAGAGAGAGGTTACAGAATTCAGTTTGATATTAGCTCTGTCAGAGCAGATGGCGGTTCGGCATCGAGATGTCGACCTCGCCCCTATGAAAGAGCTGGGGTTATGGCTGAACGCCAAGAAAAGTGTGCTTTCTCTACTACAGAGAACCACTTATCTGGGCGTGGTGTGGGATTCGACAACGATGCAGGCACAGTTGTCTCCTGCTCATATCGAAGCAATTCTCACAGCCGTGAGGGGAGTGAGAGAAGGCCAGTCACTGTCAAACAGTATCAGAGACTGCTAGGTCTGGCTGAGGCCAGTACAGCTCACCAAGGTGCCCTCATGGGACCTAGCAGTGGTTCTGGAGGCTCTGTGCAAAGCTCCCGTCGAACCAATTGAAGATATCTCTGACAAGCTCCTCAAGCTTAGGACAATATTCTTAGTCGCTATATCCTCGCTGAAGAGGATAGGGGACCTTCAGGCACTCTCTGTATCATGCCTGGATTTTGCCCCGGGCATGGCTAGGGCATTTCTTTACCCAATACACGGGTATGTCCCTAAAGTGCCCACATCCTCACCGGGTCCTATTGTACTGCAAGCCTTTTGTCCTCCTCCCTTCCAGGAAGCAGGCCAGGAAAGACTCAATCTGCTCTGTGCTTACATTCACAGAGCTGCCCATTGGCATAAGGCAGATCAGTTATTTGTTTGCTTTGGTCCACATAAGAAAGTTGTTCCAGTGACCAAGCAAACCCTGAGTCGGTGGGTGGTAGAGACCATCACACTGGCCTATGAGTCCTCTGGCCTCCAGTCACCTACAGGGGTCATAGCACACTCGACTAAGGGTATGGCGGCCTCCAAGGCCTTATCAGTGGGTGTGGCCCTTCAAGATGTTTGTGCTGCGGCAGGCTGGTCCTCTCCGCACACATTCATCTACAGCCATTTCTGTTCATTCATTTCTACAGCCTGGACCTGACATCTATCCCAGGGTCCCAAGATCTCTCGTCTTTATGTGCTCGCCAGATACCCACCAGACAGGGACTTGCTCATATGGCACAGTGGGTATTCTCGTTCCCAAAGCGTTCAACGCAGCTCGAGTTCCTGAAGGGGAACGTCTTGAGGTTACGCATGTAACCATGGTTCCCCGAAGGGAACGAGATGCTGCGTCTCCCTGCGTCCCTGCAGGCGCTCACTTCCGCAGAAGCTAACATGTGCGCTTGCTAGAAGCGCCTTTATGCTTCCTGGTTGCTCACGTCACCCCGCTCGTGATGTCTCGCTTCTCTATTGGACTAATTTCACACAAGCTTCAGAACGTGGTCTCGCCGGGGGCGTTCCCAAAGCGTTCAACACAGCGCTTCGTTCTCTTCGGGGAACCATGGTTACATACGTAACCTCGAGACGTTTGTTTTCAGCACAATGTGGTGATTTATTGGCTGCAGCACTTAGAAACAGACAAACTATACAGTGGGTACGGAAAGTATTCAGACCCCCTTAAATTTTTCACTCTTTGTTATATTGCAGCCATTTGCTAAAATCATTTAAGTTAATTTTTTTTCCTCATTAATGTACACACAGCATTAGATCAAGAGGGTGCTTCTACTAAATACTGAGCAGAGGGTCTGAATACTTAGGACCATGTTATATTTCAGTTTTTCTTTTTTAATAAATCTGCAAAGATGTCAACAATTCTGTGTTTTTCTGTCAATATGGGGTGCTGTGTGTACATTAATGAGGAAAAAAAATTAACTTAAATGATTTTAGCAAATGGCTGCAATATAACAAAGAGTGAAAAATTTAAGGGGGTCTGAATACTTTCCGTACCCACTGTATATTAAAAAGAAGTCTTTTAAAAAAAAACACAGCTGGATCACAATTGAGTAGATTATTGCTCAGCAGGAGGAACTTGCACTCATTGTCACTAGCTGCATTGAGAAGTGAAAATAAAAACAGCATTTGAGCAGTTCTGTTGTGTACAATAAACAATTTTGGTACTGTGCTACTAAACGTCCAATGTAAAATCTGGGTTCTGAAGTGAATCCAGTTGAGAACTACTGAAGAAATGCATGTATGAGATGCTGTTGTAGTGCATGTAGCTACAACGGCCAATTATCAGAGGAAGAAAACAGCTGAAGGTAGAACAAAATATAAAGGCATTCACATTTCAATAACATGCTAGTAGATACTAGCATTAGCAAATATCCTGCTGAAAAAATAAGCACAACTGTCACCAACATATGTTGTCTTTTGAGTGTTGGAGTTCCCCCCAGACTTTTTGAACAAGCTTAAAGGGATAGCTCATCCAAAAAAGAAGACTCTGTTATCATTTCCCTGTTATGTCTTTCTTCCATGGAAAACACAAGAAAACATATTGAAGAATGCCACAGCTCTCAAATCTCACAAGTGCATATGATAGTCATGCATTAAAACATGTTACATCAAGGATTGATGTCAATAATGTTGAACGCATAACTGCATTATTTGACAGAATTTTGATCATTCATCTGAATGAGATTTTTTAAGTTAAACTTAACTTTTTCACGGGAGAAAGCAATATTATGGATTTTAGCCGGAAGCAAAAGTTTGAAGTTAGAATGTCTTGATGGATTTTTTTCTTACAAACACATTTTTTCTTGCTTCAAAAGATGTTAATTGATGGACTGGAGTTACTTATGGATTATTGTGATGTTTTTATCAGCTGTTTGGACTCTCATTCTGATGGCACCCATTCACTGCAGAGGATACATTGGTGAGTAAGTGTAAACCAGTACAAGCATTGTTCATTCTCAGTTCATGATAAGGCAATAACCAATGTAAATTAATTTAACAATGATTAGTCTTAAAAAAAAAAAAAAGATGTGTTTAAAGAACGTCTTCCAAGCAGGCTACACAAATGTTATGGATTTTCCCTAAGGGTCTCTCAGTAAGTCAGGTTAACAAGCTACATAATTTCAAATAAATTAACCAGCCAAGAACCACTTTACAAATGTAAAACGTCTGACTTGTCAAGTTAAGACATAACATTAGAAAATAAATGTTTTCCAGAGGCTAATTTCATGGAGTCATGTTTTTGATCTGGCTGTGTTTGATGTGTTGAATATGCATGTGGTATGTGTGCGCATGTGTGTAACTTACACTGATATTTAGGATGATCATGCCCACCGGGCTGTTTTCTGGCAGTGTGATGTGATATGCAGGCTGGGAGAAGGCTGGACTGTTGTCATCCACGTCCAGCACTTTGATGGAGAGTGTGACGGTGGTCCGGCGAGGGTCTTTGGCCCCATCCGAAGCCTGCACAACCAAATCATACTGAGCCCTTTCCTCACGGTCCAGAGGCACAGCTGTGAAGATACTGCCATCAGTGCTGATCCTGAAGAGATCTCTGTGACTGACCAGTCGGTAACGGACTTGCCCATTAACACCCAGGTCCAGATCAGTGGCCTGGATGAGAACACACACATACATTTACATAGATATCTAAAAGAAAACATACACTACATAGACAAAAGAATATGGATATTTGACAATTACACTCATATGTTCTTGCTGGACATTTTAAACCTGACTTGAATTTTCCAAAATGTTCCCAGTTGTTTCTTTTAGTAAAAATTATAAAGAGATTTTTTGGCAGATTTCATTTGCATGTCATTCCATTTGCATAATATTTTAAATTATTAGATTTAAACATATATACGTCTTTATATCAGTGAACAAATGTCTTCAATAAGACCCTTATGGACAAATTTGAGGGTTAGTAAGTTTTGAAAAAAGTCTCTCATGTTCACCAAGTTGCATTTATGTGATACAAAACAGTGAAAACAGTAATACTGTGAAATATTATTACAGTTTAAAATAACTGTTTTCTATTAAGATAAATATTGAACTGTGATTTATTTCTGTAAATTAATTTTCAGTATCATTACTCCAGTCTTCAGTATCACATGATCCTAAGTCGTGCTGCTTAATATTTTTGTGGGAACTATGAAACATTTCTTTGATAAAAAAGAAAGTTCAAAAGAACAGCAATTATTTGAAATTTAACTTAACCTTGCTGTATAAAAGTTTTAATTTCTTCTTTAAAAAATGACCCCAATATTTTTAACCTATTTTGAACAGTAGTGTATGCATTATACCAAAATCTTGGTATAATATATATATATATATATATGACATTTTGGTAACATTTCAGGTTCAGTTTGGTAAAATAGCTTTATATTATGAACTACCAATGAACAATGCTTTTACAGCTTTAATTAATTAATTATTAAGTTAATGTTCATTTCAACATACATATTATTCATGTTAGATATAATATAATTAATCAATATTATGACCAGATATTATTTGATTGAGTAATGTTACAAAGTTACATTAGTTCAAAAAATGCAATAGCAATGAACAATAAAAGCTTAATAACAGATTGACAGATTAATAGTTGCTATGTAGTATTGTTGTATTGTTTTGCATGTTGAAACCCACTGAAACATAATTTTCTGAAGGGGATAATAAAGGTACTACTACTACTACTACTACTACTACTAAAAGCTGCACACATGTTCATTGTTAGTACATGATACCTTCAATAACTAATGTAAACTTTTTAATCCACATGAACTGAATCTTACTGTAAAGTGTTATCAAAATCCCCATGGCATTCCCATTACAATTTTAAAATTCCATCATATTTTCAGGTCTTCCGTGATAGCCCATATGGCTGTGAAATTATTAGTTTATAATTTCAACACGTCACCACACACACCCCTAGAGACACCTGCTTCATCAGCAGGGTGATGAGACAATCAACAAATAAACCAGCAAGATTTGTGACTCCCTGCAGTGGTGCAGACAGGTGCATGGTGTTGTTCTTTGACATTCTCATGGCAATTATGCCCACTCAGCTCACAGACACCAATAAAAAGTCATACTAAATCATAACAGTACAGGAATAGTTCACCCAGTAATGAAAATTGCCATTGTTTATTTACCCTCATGTCATTCCAAACCATAGGACAAGCTTTTAGGCTTCAAAAAGGATGCAAAGGCACTATTAAAAAAAATCATAAAATTAGTCCATATGACTAATTTTTGTTCCTCTTCAGGAACTCGAGCTGCGTCGGAGGATGCTTCGGGAACGCCCTTCAGCGTTCCTTGAACCTCGTGTGTAATCAGACCAATAGATGGGCGAGATGTCACGGGCGGGTGACGTAATGACCAGGAAGCTATAAAAGCATGTGCGGTGAGACCAGCGTCAGCTTTCTGTCATTCAGCAAGCGCTCTGTGTGTGTATCAGTTTGATAGCGTTGTGAGTCTTATTTGGTGTTGTCTGTCCCAGAAAAAAAGAGAATCTGAAAAATAAAAGATACAATGTCTAAAGCACATGAGAAAAAGAAACACCAGTTAAGCAAGGGCGAGGGTGGGCAGCATTTCAGACTGTGTGTTCCTCCCTGCCCGTGTTTCATTACGGGTGGGACGGGCAAGTCCCTATCTTCTTCCTTACCCGCCAGATCCAGCGCTCGCTGTCCGGGATCGGAAGCCCGCTCTGCGGCTACTTCCCCCCGGGGAGCGGGCTTGGCGCTCCGCCTTGTCTTCCTCCGAGGAGGTTGATGTGGTGGGCGTCGATGAGGATTCGCCCCCTCAATCGCCCCAGTATGAGGAGCTTTTGGAGGTGGTAACTCGTGCCGTGGCCAAATTAAATATCGAGTGGCCCGCCGAGAAAAAGGCTGGGGAAGAGGAAATTAGACGAGCATTATATCGAGTGGCCCGCCGAGAAAATGGCTGAGCCGCAGAAAAGTAAATTAGACGAGCGTTTTCTGCGCGTTAAGTCACCACCTCCGCGCCGGAGCCTGCCTTTTTCTCCCGACCTCCACACCGAGGTGTTGAAGTCGTGGGGAAGACAGTTCTCGGCCCGCCTCTTTATTCCCGCCTCCAATTATTATGGCAATGTGGCGGGGATGAATGAGCGCGGTTACAAGACGATGCCCCGGGTAGAACAGACGCTTGCGAGCTATCTGTCTCCCGGCGCGGCATCGTCTTTAAAGGCTCCGGCATTGCCCTCCAAGCCGCTGCGCACAACCTCAGCGCTGGTGGGCAAAGGGTACTCGGCAGCGGGTCAGGCTGGTGCGTGTCTGCACACCATGGCGGTGTTACAGGCGTACCAAGCCGACCTGCTGAAAGAGCTAGACGAGGGTGAGCAGGTAAAATCCGAGGATATTACCGAGCTCAGGAGAACCGCTGATTTGTCTCTCCACGCCACTAAAGAGACCGCCCATGCCATTGGGAGGTCTATGGCAGCTATGGTGGCAACGGAGAGGCATTTATGGCTGACCTTGTCAGATATGAAAGAGAGAGACAAGGTCTGCCTAATGGACACCCCGCTTGCGCCTTCTGGCTTGTTTGGCGACGCCGTCAATTCGGTCATCGACAGGTACCAGGAACACATGAGGTTCAGAGCCGGTCACGCTGAAGGGCGTTCCCGAAGCGTCCTCCGACGCAGCGTCTCGTTCCCTCGAGGAACCATGGTTACATACGTAACCTGAGACGTTATTTTGGATAGTTATTTTTGTTAGTTCTCATTCACTTTCATTGTATGGAAAAGAGCAGCTAGGGTTTTCCTCAAATTCTCTTCTTTTCTGATTCATGGAAGAAAGAAAGTCTAACGGAATGACCTGGGAATGACAAATGGACCATGAATAAAGCGTCTCTTCCCCTCTGTGGCCTCTCAAGTTTCTCCATTTAGACAGGCCTTAAATATCAGATTTAATGGCATCAAGCAAACTCCCAACTGTGTTATCCGCTTCTTATCCGTTCAGCACTTGTGCATGAAAGTGCCTCATTGACACTCAGACAAAGTGCTTTTGTTTCTGATAAGCCCTGAAACAAAGCATTCCAAGACTGGCTGCTATAAATTGTACAGACATAGATAGAGCAAACGCTGTCTTTCGCCAAAGGGTCAGGACTAGACTCTTTTACTACTGCCAAAACAGGAAACCCAATGACAGACTCGACCCTTTGACAGGTCTTTGAAGAGCCACATTTTCCAAGTTTAAAGGAACAGAATCCGAAAAATCAAGCTCGACAATATGTACCGGTGCATCTCAATAAATTAGAATGTCGTGGAAAAGTTCATTTATTTCAGTAATTCAACTCAAATTGTGAAACTCGTGTGTTAAATAAATTAAATGCACACAGACTGAAGTAGTTTAAGTCTTTGGTTCTTTTAATTGTGATGATTTTGGCTCACATTTAACAAAAACCCACCAATTAACTATCTCAACAAATTAGAATACTTATTAAGACCAATAAAAAAAACATTTTTAGCCTTCTGGAAAGGTTTTTTTTATTGGTCTTATGAAGTATTCTAATTTTTTTGAGATGAATTGAATTGGTGGGTTTTTGTTAAATGCGAGCCAAAATCATCATAATTAAAAGAACCAAAGACTTAAACTACTTCAGTCTGTGTGCATTGAATTTATTTAATACACGAGTTTCACAATTTGAGTTGAATTACTGAAATAAATGAATTTTCCACGACATTCTAATTTATTGAGATGCACCTGTATTAGTGAAGGGATAAAAGCTTGCTTCAAATGTTCCTTTCATTCCTGTGAGTTACAGTGATGTCTTCTATAATTTGAGGTGTTTCATATATAATTAAGAGATACATGCTTAAAGAAAATGTCAGTGACAGAGGGTTAAGAGAAAGTTTTAGCATGCAGTAATTGAAGCGGTGGTGACAGCGTGCTTTCTAAAGCCCACCAAGCTTGTCAAAAGTAACAGTGGAAGTGAAAAGTTCGGGATGTGGCCTGTTCTTCAATTAGAAAAAAGGAAACCAGTCCAAAATAATACTAAATAAGACACTTATGGCAATTGAAAAGCCTTTAACAGCTCACAGCATAACATCTACAGTGGTTGCCACTTTCATCAACAATGAACAATGTGATTGCTAAGAACAAAATTGTTTTTGTTTTCCATATCAAAATACGTTCTCCAATCCCAGATTGGGATCACAAAGACACAGATACAACTATAAGTAAACCATGTATTGGTTGGTTTCACATATAGCATTCCATTAACCAATGCCCAGAAGATGATGTATAATGATGTATAATGAAAATTATGTACAATGTGCAAAGTGTATGTTTTGCAGGTGTGTGCAAATGCTTTCATAAACAGGTTTTTTCATCAATATAAGAACTTTGAGTCACTGATGCATTTTCTTTGCATAAAAGTAAATGTTTATCATTAACTGTGTACATCTCCATTACATTTGCATTAAATTATACATCTGAATCTCTGCGAAAACAGTATTCTCGATTTTTACAAGCTAACATTAAACATCAATTGTCATTCTGTTGCACTTTTTGAAGTAGGAAGTTGAAATTGATAACTTGATTGCCCAGCATCATTTTGGGCAATGCGGTTAAAAAAACAGCTGGTGTTAA